ATTCGACGAAGCCATAGTTGTAACCCTTGGCCTGTTGTTCGGCTGTGTTAGTACAAACCTCTTCCGCCATTGAAATGTTGCGTACATTCTTGTCAGGAATAATCTTGACGCTTTGAACGTGACCAGTGGTTTCGAAAATCTGCTTCAGGATATCTTCAGTTACGCGAGGATCGAGACCTCCCACGTACAGAGCCCGCTTATTAGGCTCGGGCGCGGCACGGCGAACGAATCCTCCACCGGAGGTGGGTGATGTAACTCCGGAAACAGACATCGGTGAAGTGATTGCAGTTGGAATCGGATTCGTATTCTGCGGAATAATCACCGGAGGAAGCGAAGGAGGAGGCATGTTCTGGCCTGGAGCTCCTTGTTGAGCAGACTGGCCGCCAGCTGGTCCGTTGTTCTGTGCTTCCGAAGACATAGGTTTTCAGGCTGAATTTGGAACGTGAAGAGGTATCAGAGATGCGAAATGTCGGCTGGGTATGAAGATGCAATAATCGAAGCGACGACGACTGTACCGGCCAACAAGAACTTGCTCACTTCATTGAAAATAAGTAAAGACACATAGAAGGGAAAGTAAGAGAGACAAACGGCTGAATGATGAGGAATATAAGCAGCAGAGAAGACAGCGGCTGCAGAAACGTTGGCACGATGTAGCAGAGGGGTATCGACGACTAGCAAAGAGCAGCTCTGTAAGCTTCAGGAGCCAAACGGAAGGAAAGAGAATAGCAGGCCAATGCTGGCACGAGCTTTGGCAGGTAGCTGGGATGCTGGCCGAACCGCAGTTGGTCGGGTAGCGATAGAAAGGATGGGGAGAAAGATGGCTCAGTGGTGTGAGGGGACGTGAGGGACCAACCAGATGAAGGAAATAAGCGGGGGAGGGGGTCAATACAACAACGCCTCAAGAAACGCGTGCAATAGAGAGGACAAAGTCGATGAAAGAAAACGACACAATGGAGATGCACACGGAAGGAGACAGAGGAAGAGGCGAAAAACGAGGAGGGGAGGTGGTGGAGGTGGTGAGACGAAGAGGGGAAGGAGAACAACGGCGGATGGAGTTGAGGAGAGGAGGGGGAAGCAGACCCCTGCTGGTGTGATGGAGCCGGTGAGCTTCCCACCCCGCGAGGCGCTGGCTCGGTTACAGACCAGCTGGAACGGGTTTGTGAGACGCCCATGACAGCAACAATGCAAGTGGGCGGGTGTTGTTTGATGGAGAATTGAAGATTGTGATGATGGAGAGGAGGGGGACAATAGAAACTGTGGTCATGACGCTGGACACGATTCAGCTCTAGAGACGGGACCCCTCTTTCTTTCGGCGAGGACACGCTGACGGGCCACGGGCCTTAGGCCCCGCCGTGCAGCCGAAATGTGGAGGGCCCGCGTGCGGATCCTTGACCCAATTGCAATCACGACACCAGAAGATTTGTTGCCACAACACGCTTCGAGCTCCAGAGAGAGAACACAGGCATCTCATGCACCGCGGACTGCTTCAGGTCTTCGCGTCTGCGCTTGACAACCACCTGGCATGCCCCCGCGGCTAGTTAGTTGCTTTTCTGCTTCACCATCCTGTCTAGAGCAGCCAGCCTTCTCTCCAGCAGCCTCGTGCCTTGGCGGCATGCACTGTCAGGCACTCAATCAAGCAGCCCTGCTGACAATGTAGCCACCGTCTCCCCATGAACAGCCGACAGACCGGCCATGAGTGGAAATACCTATGGCCTTTTCGCGGTTTTGGGGATTCTCTTCTTCTTTACAATTTGGTATTGCGAGTGCTGGGTTGTGAAATTATACAGAATCATCATTGTCCCAACATGCAGATCATGGGCTGGCGTTCTTCATCCCCCTGCTCTTCCCCTCCCGATCATTTTCGTCTTCGTCATCTCGCTGCTCAGTCACCTTCCTTCGCCTTCTCATCATCAATTGCATCCCTTTATGGTCAGTCATCTCATTCAACTCGGGAGCTGGTCAGGCTAACAAACTTCCAATTTTCCAGCCTGTCTCATCCCGAGCTACCTCCTCGCCAACATCCAGCGACTTTACGGAGGCTTCTGGAAAAGCTGAAGCCCTGAAAAACACGGATGTTTGTCACTCTACATTATTTACACCTACAACGTCCGTGCCCGATGCTTTTTGATCCCAATCTCCTTATGAGCGAATGACAATGTGTTGCTAGGCAGCCCCATAACTTGGCTCCTGGATCGTTGGGCTTTGAATCAACATTCATCTAGTGCGAGGTCCCGTCATCTCAACACTGTTTGTGACATAGTGAGACAAGGTTGAACGTTGAGGCCACCGCCAACTCTATGGCGTTTCACTTTGCTGGATAACAAAAAAGACTTTATGGTCACATTGATGGCTGACAACTGGGAATACGATGGGTAAACACGTTGAGCTTGGTCAAAAATGTAGACATAGATCGATACTGTTTTTATTAGAATAAATTTTCAATTACACCTTCTGCGCGTGACCGACAAAGCCCATCCGTTGACGTGACCATTAGGTTACAGTACTGTGCCTACAGTGTTGAGCAGGGGTGCGGAATCTTCCGCAGACCATCACTTCCCCTGACTCGCAACATCGCCCTCTCAACCCCATCCAGAATCATCATCCAACGCAACGCGCAATGCCTATCCTCATACGGCTGGGTAATTCTCAGTTCAATGCTCTGAGACATCCCAACTTGGTAAATATCTTCAACACCACCGCGGCATGTACCGCGATCTTCAGGACAAAATCACGGAGCTTGGGATTCCCTCCGAGACAACAGATTCCGCACAGAGCTTGAAGTGATGGATCAACGGATGGATACCCCCAACTTGAATCGATGGGAAGTCTTTATATTCTCCCCTTCTCCCCGTCTTCTCATCACCATTCCATCCTCAAGCATCTCCCTCAAGCATTATAATCCTCAAACTCACAATGAAGACTCAAACTCTTGTTTTCCTCGCCCTTTGGGCCGCCTCCGCCGCTGCTGCCCCAGGTTATCACTACGGCGTTGAGAGTCACCCTGCCAAACACGACTTTGACCATCACGAACCGCACCACGGAGAGAAGTATGGAAAGGATGGCATGTACGGAAAGCACTGGGGTAAATGGAAGGGTTATGGCAAGGGAAATGGCAAGCCCCATCATGACGATGAGGTATGATTAAACTCCTGAGTTTTCATATTAATATACTAACTCATCCTGTAGCCACTCCCCTACCCCGAAATCGAAGACCCGTCAAACATCGCCATCCCCAGCCCAAGCATCTCCAGCGTCGAGGCTCCCAGCGCCAGCATCAGCTCCATCGAGCTTCCCTCAATCAGCGCCGCCCCCACGGAATATCCTTCCGCCGGTGTCCCCAGCGCCGATGTCCCCAGCATCGAGCTCCCCAGCGCCACCCCCAGTATCGAAGATCCGGCCGGATATACCCCTTCTTCCTCTCTGAGCATCAGCGTCCCCTCCGAGATCCCCTCCCCAAGCGCAGCCCCATCCGTCGAAATCCCCTCCATCAGCGCCCCCCACATCTCCAGCTCCATCATCCCCTCCAGCGCTCCTAGCGCTCCCGCGGCCTATGATCCCATCAACCTCCCGGTCGAATCCGACATCTCCAGCATCAGCATCCCCGCCGTCAGCTCCCCCAGCGCCTCCATCCCATCCGTCGCCGTCCCCAGCTCCGAGCTCCCCGCCCCAAGCGCCCCGGTTGACTACCCCGCCGACATCCTCCCCTCCTCCAGCATCGCGGTCCCAAGCTTCAGCGTCTCCGCCGTCCCAGAGGCTTCGATCCCAGTTTCATCGCCCTGCCCAGAATCCTTGATCCCTGAGCCCTCAGCCCCAGCGGTCTCGTCTATTGCACCACCGGCTTTCCCGTCGCCGTCGAATGTCCCTGGCGTGGAGGCTCCAGACGCACCGGAAGAGTCTGTCCAGGTACCGGAACCCCAGCCGTCGGAGGCTATTGAGGAACTCCCCGAGCCGGATGTGGAGGAACTCCCGGAGCCGTATGTTGCTGCGGAGGGGGATGTGGACGCCCCCGTTCCGGAGTATAGGTAAGCTTTTTATATCCGAATTTTTTATCAAGTTTAAAAGCTGACATCACATCTAGCGAGTCGAGGCCGGAGCACTACTGAGTGCGTGAAGAGTAGTGAGGCGCGGAGTGGTTAAATACTACTGGGGATGTTGGGAGAAGGCTGTAATATAGACAGGGTGTCGGTGTGGATAGATGGGGCAGACGGAGCAGGGTAGAGAGCTTTAGCGCGTGGTGGTGGTATTCGGGGACTTGAGACTAATGTAAAACGTAGTATTTTTAGTGATAGTAATTCATTTTTTTTTCGCAACACGACCTGGGTCATTGGTTTAAATACCTATCCTTTCTTCCATTCACAGTTCGTTGTCTCCCCCATCTTGGGCCAGTGAGACCCCTGAACACCATCTACCTCTTCCACTCACCATGTCCAAGCAAGTTCCTTCAGCTTGATTGATTTATTGAATTCATTTTAGCGCATGTATCCCGTTGGGATATGGCGCGACCACCTACATACACTCTTCTTCCTCACCCCCTCCCCGTTGATTCATTTCCTTCTCTTTTCTAGACGCATTGATTCGTCCACTTTCAACCCTTGTTCTCGCCATCCCTTCGCGTTGGCTAGGGATGCCATTTGAATTGAGCTCCAGTTCATACAACTGGGCTCTTTTCTCTCCTATATCTCTTCTTTATGATGAATTCCCCTCACTCTCCATCTCCTTCTCCCCGCCCCTCATTCCCCGTCTCCCTCTCCCTGCCTCTCATTCTCTGTCTCCTTCTTCCCCGTCCCTTGCCGCACCGGCCTCTCTTCCCACCATTGTTCAATTGATTGATTGATTGATTGTAATCATTTAAGCGCATGCGTCCCTTTGGGATATGGCGCGAGAACTAACATACAAAGCGTCCCCTTTCCGCAGTGCCGTACTGCATCTCCCACCATTGTTCAAATCTCTTCTATATTCCTTTAGTTTCCTTTATCCCACTCTGCCACTATAAATCTTACGGCAGGATGGCCGAGTTGGTTATGGCGCCAGGTTAAGGTCACCTTAATGAGGTTGTGTACTCAAAAAATACGCAGCTTAATCTCCTGGTTCGGGAAACTGAGCGTGGGTTCAAGTCCCACTCCTGTCATTACCTTTTTTTTGGTGTTTCTTTTTTTGATTTCCTCTTTCTTTGGTTTTGGGATAGTTTTGGGGGGGGTTGCGTTTTAGGGTGTGTGAGACATGAATTGTACCGGGATAGAAGGTGGTGTGGTATAGTTGATGGTGTTTGGGAGAAAGATAACAAGAGATTCTTTGGAAACTTCGGAGGGGAGTGGAGGAGTATGTGAGTCTTGAGGTGTACATAATTTGGGAATGAACGTTTACTTCATAATGAGGTGTTCAATTCGCTGGGCCGTGAATGATGGGAACTACTGGAATTGTTTCTCATGTCCTAATGGGGCTTCTTGTGTCTCGAGTCCTTATCTCCCAATTCCCTCACGTCTGGTTTACATGCGGAGATATCTCATATCACCAAGGCACGACGATGAAGAGTTTGAGCTCTGTAAGCGTGAAAACGATGGAACAAGAAAACCCCCAAGCCTCAACTCAGTCTGCCACTCGAGTGATATTGTATGATTTTTGCCGGTCAAACCCTGAACTCCAAGCTGGATGTCACCTTTACTATTTGCTAGCCCACCTGTCTTATATCCGGTAACGAGTAAGCACTCCACTACCATCAGTACCACTCCCTTCGTGAGTTTTCCGCCAGATCAAACACACTCATCCATAGATACCCATGACCATAGACCGCAAAAAACTCCCGCGCGATTCACGAACTGCTAAAACCGCAACTGCAATTGCAAAATCAACTGTCTTGTCTGCTATTATTATAGTCTAATGTTACTGCTAACTGCTCACTAACAAACTACCCTCAAGCTCGCGTTGTATACTCGGCACAGAATCGCTATCAGCCAGGTAAGAGCCAGAACAGCAAGTACAGCAAGACAACAACAAAACAGCAACAAAAGGCTCATATTTTCGAGTCCGGGGCCACCGCCACCTATAACAAAATATCCAGCCAGCCAGCCAGGGAAGAAGAAGCAGTAACAGCACATACCAAAAGTTTATGCACGCACAAAAACACTCCCACGTAAAACAAAGACAAGAAAAAACAGCGGCGGCAACACAAGTGCAACACATAATATCCAATCAATCTCAATCAATCAAGCCGGCACAGCAGGAGCAGCATTGAACTATAACATTAGCAGCCGGAGTAACAATAGTAGTAGTACTAATAATACTAATCACATAGCAGCAGCACCAGCGCCAGCAGTCGCAGCATAGCAGTAGGTAGCAGTAGTAGTAATGTATCTAGCCCACTCTGGCGCTCGAAGTTATCCAACAAATCCGAGTCCTCTTCCTTCACTACTCTCAAAAAAAAAAAATAGAACAAAAAAACAAAAGCCCCCAAACCAAAGCAAGCACACAGCGCCAAAAAAAAATCGGTTACCCAACATCCACGAAACAACGGACAACACCTCCTTAAGCACGCACGCACCAAACGGCTACGAAAAAGAAAAAAAAGCAACTGATTTCCAATTCCCAATCACAAAAAAAAAACAAAAAAACAATGGCGATAAAAACGACAATGGTATAAAATAAAAACGGGGTAACAATGCGATGATGATGATGCCTAAAGCACAAGACAAGAAGAAACCCATGAGGAGTATAAACAAATGAGATAGAGAGGCAGAGCAATCGGGTGGGTAGATGGGTGGGGGGATCATGGAACAGATAGATACGCTCGAATCGAATCGAGTCCTCGGGTCAAAATAAAAAAACCAAACGAGCCAAATCAGAAATCAAAAAGCGAGCCAAATCCGCAAAAAGAAACGAAGGGAAAAAAATCACAAGAAAAATCATAGGCAAGAAAGTAAAGGCAAAGAAAACAAAGACTGCGCGACCGACAAGCCCTATGATTGCGCCGCAACACACCAATGGCGATGATATACCCACGCGCGTTTCTGGCAGTCCTTGCTGCAGTACTTTGTTCTCCTGCAGCGTCTACACTTCGCAAATTGTCTCGTATACTCCTCCCACTTCCCGCACTCATAGTAAGCGCACTGACGGATGCCGCCTCTGGAGTCATCTTTTCTGCAAAGGTTGCGCATGACGACGCCTGCCCAGTACTGCATATCAGGAGGATGGTGACGCATTGTGAATTTTTCGACCAGCGGGAAGATGTTGTAGTCGTCCGGCAACAGGTACTCTTCGTCGATTTCCTGCTCGCAGTCCTTAACGCAGGCAGGAGGCACCCGTTCGGATTCGTCGTCGAGGAGGTAAAGCTCATTTTTGATGGAGAGGGAGGGCACGAGGTGGGAGCGCTGGAAATAGGTTCGGAGTTCGCAGTATTTGGAAACGTAGGCGAGGAGCTGGAGGGACATGAGGACATCCTCTTCTCGAGGCATGGATGTTGGGAGGGTGGCTGTTGAGCTCGCGTTCTCCATCATGAACCGTGAGGGCTGCAGCGCTGCAGGGATGGCCAATCCGGGGTTGATGGTAGGCGGATTCGGAGAAAGGGCATTATTAGCCTGAGTCCTTCCGTTGGCGAGACTTCCATCCAGCGGGGATCGGTGAGTAATGTTGAAAGTGTCGGCATCCTGGCGCTCAGGGTCGTGCTCGCCATCCAAAGTCATGGGAGCATCAACCGAGTCCTGATCGATAACAACTCCGGAAACATCCAAGATGGATTCGTTCTCCGTAACCATGGATACTGGAGCATTGCTCATTTCATCTGAATCTGGGTCGTCCGACTCGCCTGAAACCGACCGTTGGTGGCGCGACAAGCGGCCATTGCGCGGAGCAATGCGACTGTTGAACGTGCCGCCCAAGGGCGGATTAGGAGTTGTGGGCGATACTGGCAACGATGCACCCCCAGCCTGGACCATTGCCGGCATCCGATCAACATCTCTGGCCGCTTGCAATGAACCTACCAGGGCCATGTGGCGTTCTGCCGGAACTTGGTGAGGAAAGATGGGACGCAGCCCTAGCTGATGTCTATCAGGAACTCCAACTGTCCTGGCCTGTTGGGCAAGAGGGAAAGCGGGGTGATCCACCGGTAGTTGGGACGCATTGGGACGGTGACCAGGAGCGAGGGCATGAGTATGCGTATGCGTTGCCAGCGGTTCGTTTTGGCTAGGAATGTCGATAAAGTTCGGAGCTGTGGGCCTTTGAAGGCTTCGAACACCGCTCAGAGCCCTAGCCCGGTTCCCGACAACGTTATTGTGCCCTGCTTGAGCTTTCTTCGCGTTCGCCTCGCTCTTTTGACGCAACTTATCGGTGGCCTGAATGTAATTTTCCAAGATTGTAGCAATGACCGGGACCATATCTGCTTCCACTACTCTTGTCCGAACATCCTCCGTACCCCGTACGCCAATATTAACAACGCACTGGAATGCCAGGTTCCATTTCCACATGCTCATCATGTCCTTGCTGCGGCCCTCCTTGAGGATGGACACCAGCCGTTCGATTCCTCCATCGACAGTGAGAATGTCTCTGATCCGTGCCGACGACGTTGTAAGATATGCGAGGTGGTTGAGCGAATTGATTAGGGGGAGTGTCGACGTGCAATCGAGTGCTCTTCGATCGTAGAGGGCCGTGGTGATGCCGACCGAGGCTTTGTTGACATTCGGAATGCTAAAATTAACTTCCCGCATGGTTTAATTGTCGGACGCGACGAGGTCAAGAAGCTGGAAAAGGAGAGTCGGTTAATTCGTCTGGTCCAGTGTTAGTGATGACTCCTCTCCATGTTACTCAATCGGCCGCGCGACGAATGGCGTACCTCGAGAAATCGCGCAGCCGGGCTGGATTCGGATAGAAAGGGGTCTAGGCCGTGAGTGTGGAGAGAGCTATTGATGGATGATCGACCGTTATCTCGAAGGACCGGTGGACAGGCGATATATGTAAGTTGACGAAGGAGCGCAGAGACGAAAGACGATCGTGGCGTGGTGGTTCAGCGGCTGACTGGCGTGTTTTCGCAGGGAGTTGATCACCTAAGGACGGCACGAGCGGACAACGCAGCGGTGGGCAGACGAAAGGGACGATGAGACGTGTATGCTTCAGGGAGCGATGACAGCCGTGGATTGTAGAATGAGAGAAGGCTTAAGGCTGATGACAGAAGCGTGGACTGTGGTGGTAGCCGTGGCGGTTGTGACGGGGGTGTGTGTGTGGTCGTGTTAAGACTGGGGCCAGGCGGTGGTGGTGGCTCACACGAGGTATTGACGTCCGATGGGGTGATGGGGCGAGGGAGCGGTCGCGACGGTTCGCGGTGTGTAGAGAGGAGTAGGAAGAGTGGAGTGAGCGGAGAGAGAGAGGAGCTCTTTAGGAATAGAGCGGGAGGATGTCGCGGGCGGTGGGGGAGGGTGGAAGCGGTGGAGGCAGGTCGTCCAGATCGGCGGTGGTTGTGGAAGGAAGGAAAGAAGGTGTTGCCTCTGTGGTGCTGGGGGAGTGAGCGGGAGGCGGAAGCGCCAAAGGGTGCAGGAGGAGGTGTGTGTGGAGAGGGTGAGATTGGGTGAGTGCAGGGGCGAGGGAAGAGTCACTGGTCGTCACCCGGTTCAGGTGGGTGATGGGTGATGGGTTATGCTCACAGCCTCACACCCGCGCTGGCCAATTGCTCCGAGCACCCAGTGGCCGCCAGCCTTGCGCTCGTGCTCTCCGGTAGCCTTGTCTTCCGCTGTGATTGAAGAAACCTCTCATGGTTCTTCAAACCCTTTTTTCGTCGACGGTGCTTCTCTGCAGCAGCACTTGGAGAAGCCAAGAAGCACCAACACCTCGAAATATCCACAACCTTCTGATTGGCTCTTCTCCTCCGACTCACACTGTTTCCCGCGTCCACCTCACAAAGCGCATCGCCAGCCCCATAACTTGTATCTGTCAGCGGCGGCGGCGATTCAATCTCCTCCTCCTCCTCCTCCACTTCTCCACCCACCCACCCCCCCTCCACCACTCACCCCACAAGTCAGAAAAAAAAATCTCCCACCCCTTTCCAGTCTGTTTTTTCCGGGTGGTGGCGCTCTCTCACCAATCGGGGACACATCCCCGCGATCCCCCAGCAGCTGTCGTCATCCCACAGACACGTACATTTCCTCG